GTATGTTGTTTTATCCACAAAACATGTCCTCACTCAACAGAAAAACAAAGCAAAGTCTCAGGAGACTAAAAGTGATGATGAAGACTTGGGTTTGGATGAACAACATGCAGAATCTAATGTCTCTGAATCTGATTGAAATAAATAAGTCCATGCATTAGTAAGTAACTAGTCATATGCCTTATGCCCTTGTTTAGTCAAAGATTTAGTGCTACAATTCTATTTGTCTGACCTAAAGAAGGAGATTCAGGGTCCAAAATTAATTAACCAGAAGTTCTAGTGTTCAATTTCTGTTGATTCCAGTTGGATTCCTGTCGATTCCGGCCGGAATCCAGGGAATCCACAGATTCCGGTAGGAATCAGTGGAGGAATGGAAAGTATTGGATGTTGAAAAGATCTGATGCAGCCGTAGGTTGAAAGTTAAATGCGCAAACAAGAGCTAACTGATAGCAAGCTCGAGGTAAGACAAGGGAGTTGTCTTACAACTTGAGGTGGCTCCTCCCGTGGGTGAGTCTCAAGTATACGGCTCGCCCGCACTGGAAATCGCTAGTCTCCAAGACTAGGAGTATCTCAGGGAGAGGAGAATATTTTGTCCCCAGGCACCCGTGTGCCCTGATTAGTCGAGTTTAAAATTTTTTTACTATAGTCTAATCAAGGCACATGGGTGCCTGGGGACGAAACCACATCTCCTCTCCCTGAGATGACAAGGCGCACAGGCGCCTGGGGACGAAATGACATCTCCTCTCCCCGAGATGGCCTGGTCTCACCTTGGAGACCAGCGATCCAGCCCCGCGAGGAGTACTTATGTACATGGCACATTTCTGACTCTTCCTTTCTTCCTTTTTCCCCACTCGAGATATTCAGCCACATCGCTCTCGTTTTTCGCACTTAGTTATCAACCTACAGTTGCATCAGACAAGTCTTCATTTACTCTATGTCTACCAGCAATGATACTCTCGATACTCCTACTGCTTCTGGTCCTGGCACTCAGTCAACCTCTGGGAATGAACAGAATCATGATCAAAGTCAAGGGGATCAAGAATTACATCATGAAGGGCAAGATCAAATTCAGAACCAAAATCTGGCACAGGACGACACCGAGCAGAGTGATCCAAGCTTGCCTGGGAATTTCCCGGCTGCGAACAAAGTCCTTGCTTCGTGCAACGCCGTCCTCGAGAATTTTAGGTCATCGCGGGTTTCTAAGGCAGCTGCCCTATCCAGAATTTACACCCATTTACTGGAAGCTATCCTGGAAAATGACATTTCTTTTGCTTCGACTATTGAAGATGCCTTTGGTTGCTATCTCATTATCATTGAGAATCATCAACATCATCTCGAGGAGGCTCAGCGTTGCAGTCGTCGACAACGTTCAGCAACTCCACCAGACAATGATGTTGAGAAAGGAGATCCCAACAACAGTGAGACACCCAACAAGTGAGCAAAGCCAGACGATTCTCAATATCCATGGGTCATATCTGACTTTATTCATTGTGTTACTTTATCGCCATCACTCACAAGCACACTTGATTTGCTCAAGCTCTATGCCATTGATCCAAAAGGGACGAAGCGTTCCCTTGTCAATTCCCCGACATGTCCTGAATTTCCGGACTCAGAATGGACCAACATCCTTGCAGGGAGAGCTGTCAATCTCGACGCTGTCCTCACCGGTTACTACTCGACGTCTAACAATGATGAGCGAGTGGAGGAAATTGGGGACTTTGAAATACGTTTTGGAACAGTTGTCCCCACAAAGACAGTTTCTACGGCTGGGGAATGGAGCATTGCCTGGAATAGGGCATCACGAGCAACATCAACTGCTTTCCCGCACAGAGCCGGGGAGTTGGCAGAATACGCTGAGTATATTGTTGCACTTTTCGCTGTGACTGATGTGCACTTCCATGACCGTGTTATCCTTTTCGACAAAGCTGTCCGCCGTCGCATTGGTGCTCGTCGCGATTTGGAGCTCACGGATATCAATAAATTCTCAGATCTCAGGTCGACCCACATGGACTCAATTGGTGCCGCCGTTGTTCAGCGTGCCTCTCTTGGCAAACCCAGTTCGACCCTTCGGAAGAAGATACAAGAGCCATGCAACCGATGGAATGAGGGCTTATGCGCACTTGAGTCTTCTCAGTGTCGCCGCCTTCATGTTTGCAACAAATGCACAAAGTCCGGACACAAGGGCACTGACTGCCCATCCTGATTTCTCTTGTTTTTCTATCCCACACTCGTTCACCAAATCTCACATCAACAACTATATTCAGCCCCCTCGAGTTCAGCTGGGGGTAATCAAAAAATGATCCACATTTCGCGCGGTTCTCGTCAACCCCATCAAGAACCGTGGACATTAGATCGTCTTGTGCACGAGCGGTCTATAGCTCTGGGGCTCGCTATCGATAACTCAACTCATCTCACCTACACCTCTGCACTCAACTCATACCTCACTTTCTGCAAAATACACAATTTCCCCATAGAACCAACTGAAGAAACCTTCAGCTTCTTCATTGTATACATGTCCACTCATATTAAACCTGACTCAGTCAACTCATATCTCTCGGGCATTTCCAACCAACTGGAGCCTTTCTTCCCTGATGTCCGCAAGCGGCGGGGAAGCATTTTGGTTTCTCGAACCCTTGCTGGATGCCGACGCCGCTTTGGGACACCTGTACATCGCAAACGTCCCTTATCAAAAACCGATTTGGATACTGTCATATCCCACATTGGCGCCTCCCTAGATCACGATGAGAAACTGTTCCTTGCCATCTTATTCACCGGTTTTCATGGCCTTTTGCGACTTGGCGAGTTAACTTTTCCTGATAGAGTCGACTCTCGTGACTATCGCAAAGTCACTCTACGGCATACCGTCAAAATATCGTCAACATCCTACTCTTTCTTGCTGCCTGGCCATAAGGCCGACCGCTTTTTTGAAGGGAACACTATCTTAATTCAAAAAACAAACCTCCCATCCAACCTGCACAAGTTTCTCTTATCATATCTCACCTCGCGAGATAATCTCCACCCCCTCAAGCCTGAATTATGGTTACATAAGTCTGGCTTTGTGCCGACACGTTCCTGGTTCATCAAGAAACTTCGCCGTTTTTTCCCCTCTGACATCGCAGGGCAATCAATGCGAGCCGGAGGTGCTACCTCTTTAGCTGAAGCTGGTGTTTCACCCAAGATCATCCAAGCTACGGGACGTTGGGTGACGGATACTTTCAAGATCTACATCAGAAAGAATCCCGTCCTTCTCCAAGCCATGCTCTTTGGTCGACCTGCTCACCAACCTGCATCTGGCATTTGACAATTTTTTATGCATTCTCTTGTTTTTATACTGACTCTGATCTTTTCTATTCCTTGAACTTTATATTCCATGCCTCGGACACTTACCTCAACATCCTTCCATTTTCCGGCACCTTACAATCATCCCTCCATCTTCCACTTCACTCAACTTCTAATATCTCCACTCTACTTAACCCTCCCTTCCCTTCCCTTTAACACTTTCAATAGGTATAATAGGACATCAGTACTACAAAATGGACATCTTAGCGGGTTCTCCAGGTGCACAGCGCACCTGGAGAACTCTGTCTTTGCCTATTTACATCTATATAAGGCTTCGGACGCTCTTCACCCTTATTCGATTAGTCGAGTTTAAAATTTTTTTACTATAGTCTAATCGAGGCACACGGGTGCCTGGGGACGAAACCACATCTCCTCTCCCCGAGATGACGAGGCGCACAGGCGCCTGGGGACGAAATGACATCTCCTCTCCCTGAGATGGCCTGGTCTCACCTCGGAGACCAGCGATCCAGCCCCGCGAGGAGTACTTATGTACATGGCACATTTCTGACTCTTCCTTTCTTCCTTTTTCCCCACTCGAGATATTCAGCCACATCGCTCTCGTTTTCGCACTTACCCACCCTCCTGCTCCCTCTGTTTCTTGTTGCATGTATTATGTAGGAAATCGGTACTACAAAATGGACATCTTAGCGGGTTCTCCCTGATTAGACTATAGTAAAAATATTTTTAAACTCAATTTATGTGTTATACACTTGTTTGGTTTGCAAGCCATTGTTAGGATCACAAGTCTTTGTTTGGATCACAAGTCTTTGTTAGGATTACAAGTCTTGTTAGGATCGGAAATCTGGCCAAACATACCTCAATGTTTGTAAGCAACAAGAAGGAATGTTGTAGCAAAGATAGGAATGATCTAGATACTTCTCAAACACTATTGTACTTGTATTTAAATAGAGTGAAATGCAAGAAGTAAGGCATCTTACATTTTAACCCCAACTTTGACCAAGCTTAAGTTCTTTGAACTAAGTGCAGTTTCTTGAGTGAATTGATAAGGCTTCGCGCTATCAATTAACTCAACCAATCGTTAAAGCTACACACTAATGATCATGGTCATCAAGCAACATGATCGACTTACGGTTAAGACTCTTTACGTTTCAAGGATATCTTACTTACTACATTTGAACTTATGATACGCTTGCACTCTATGTATGATTACTCTAGTACTGCTTACTAGTGTTTGCATTCACCAGAATACACCAACATAGAGCGGCAGACTCTAACAGACACCTGTGGATGAAACTCTGAAGCACACCACCCAAGGAGCCAAACATAAATTGGAGGAGGAGGAGGATGCCGAGGGGGAAGGAGAAGGAGAAGAAGAAGAAGACAAGGAGGAGGGGGAAGAGCAGAAGCAGGATGAGGGGCCAAAGAAAAGGTTGATGAGGGTGATGAAGAGAGTGAGGATCAAGTCCGCGGTGGAGGTGAATTCTGGGGATGAGGGAGGTGATTGTGGCAATTGTTCCACCCCAAAGCGGCCTCATCCAAATGGGGTTTGCCAGGCATGTAGGGATGCAGGGCAAGTTTGTCTCCTCAGTGTCTCAGGTTGAACTGCTTGTGATTGATGCAATGGGCAGAAGGAAAGGTGTAGTCTGACCAAGGGTAGAGGGGGTGAGAAAGGCGAATCGACAACCAAGGGTAGTGGTGAGAAGGGGGAATCCGTGAAAAAGGCTGAGCCGAAGAAATCAGGCAAGAAGCCCAACCCCACCGTGAAACCCTCTTCATCGGGATCGAAGCCATCAGGATCCAAGTTGACTGGAACCCATCTTCTCAGGGAGAAGATGACAGTATTCAGCAATCCCAAATTCGAGGGGATTTCACCAATTCCACCAAAGTTGATTGGGGAGCTTGCAGGGAACAGGGGACAGTCTGAGCCGAGTGTCAGGGTGAGGAGGTGGAGAAGTGAATCCATTTGAGAGGGAAGCATACGGCCTGGACATGACCAGGAAATTCCAAGTAAGTTGATTTTATTTTTTATTTCAAGTTGTTTATACTGTCAGCAGGAGACACACTCCTGTCAGGCCTTGATGACGGGTCTAGCACCCCACCCCAAATATCGGATCCCTTCACCGATCGACTGGACAACATTTCGCTCCACCAAAGGCATCAGATGGTTGAGCTTGAAAGGCTCACAGAGAAGCTCCAGGACGCCAACTCCCGCATCGACGCATTTTCAGCTACGAGCCTTTGGCAAAAGGACACGAACATCGCTGAGTTGGAGCAACAAGTGGAGATCCACAAGGCGACAATCTCAGACCTCCGGCAAAAGCAAGACCCGACTACTAGTGCTTGGAAGTCCAGTCCAGTCCGGTATTTTGTCCAAATTTGACAAGACCGGGACCTGGACCGGTCCTCACAGGTTGAAGGACCACGAAAAACTGGACTGAACCAATGTCAACCAGTTCAGTGTGGTTTTGGTCGGTTTTTTATGGTTGAAAGACTGGTCTCAACCACACAAGGGGCAAACTGCATTCGTCACCTGGCGAAGAGGTAATAAAAAGGAGATAAATATGTTAAATAGTCAATTCCACATTGGTGTTAAAAATGTTCAAATAGAAAAGATTCATTGTTCATTCAACTTTGCAGCCACAAAAAGGTCATATCATGTATGTAAAATATTTATTGGTAGTTTGTTAGAGCAGGAATGACTGAGAAACAAAAGAAATTCTTGCCAGAAAAGGAAGATAAAGAAAGACCCTGTTTTACCCTGGCAACAAAAGTGAAGCAACTATTTAATGTCATTGAAAGGTCTTTCTTGGCACTGTAAAAAGCAATCAAGGAAATTAAATTTAACCCTCTTAAACAAAGGAACCCTGAGAGATAATTTTAATTCTTTGTTTCTGTTCCCTCAGGCCATGATATGACCTTTTTGTGCCTGCAAAGTGGAATGAACAATGAATCTTTTCTATTTGAACATTTCTAACACCAATGTGGAATTGACTATTTAACATATTTATCTCCTTTTTATTACCTCTTCACCAGGTAACAAATGCAGTTTGCCCCTTGTGCCAGTTGCAGTCTCAACTGGTTGAGAACTGGTCTTGGACCGGTCTCGAAGCTAGTGAAAATGTATGTAATTGAGTAAATATACTGCTAGTACTACACAAGGGTATCCCTCATTCAGTTTCGGGGGGGGGGGGGAGCACTCGCGCATCCTCATTGTTGTCTGTTGTTGTTGGTCGTCATGGTCTTCGTTTCATTGTCGGTCATCCATTGTCGTTGTGGTTGTCCGTCATCATTGTGGTCATCTGTTGTCACTGCCATGGCGCGTCATCATCGCCAAAGGTGTAGGAGGGCGAAAGGATGACGTGGCAGTGGTTGGCGGGTGTTACAATGGCCACTGACCACGACAAACGATGTCGTTCACGTTCGTTTGGTGGCCACGTCACTGTTGGCGACATGGTACCTGGAACAGGTATTAGGAAGAGGATTGGGGAGAGGTGTCGTTGCTCACCGAATGAAGGAGGACGACGAATGGCGACAGATGTCACCATTCGCCATGTGGTTGCCACATCCGTCATCGTCGTCGTCTGCCTCATCCTCCGTCATGTTGTTGTTGTGTTGTGGCCATGTCGTGGTTTTGGTGGTTGTGGTGTTGGGTCGTCTGGTGATCGTGGTGTTGGGTCATCTGGTGATCGTGGTGTCGTGTGGTGGCTGTCACGTCGTGTGTGTCGTAGTCGCATGGCAGGGTGCAGGTTGTGGCTATTAGAAATAAGAAAGAGGGGGCTGGTGGGGCTTACAATGTGATGTACTTACCTGCACATTGCTGTCTGGATGACATGGCACATTGGAAGTGGACTACTGAGGTGCCATGTCATCTCCTCCATGTGTCATCGACACCGCAGGTGCTCGTTTAGCTGGTAGGTATGTTGTTGCCATCGTGGTTGGTGGGTGTGTGTGTCTGCCAAGGTGGGTGTGGGCAGTTGACGACAGGCAGCAGTCACGAAGGCTGGTGACGATGGTGCTGGATGGTGGTGGGAGGAGGAGACTGGTTGTGTTTGGTCACAAGTTCTGTTTGGTTACAAGTTCTGGTTGAGACCGGTTAGACCAGTCTTTCATCGGTCTTGAAATTTCCGAAATCGTGAGAGACCGAAGACCAGACCGCAGTTGCAGTCTTTGATGGTCCTGAAAATTTCCGGTCTTGGGCAGTCTGGGTTCAGTTCAGTCTCGGTCTTTTTCCAGTCTTGGGACTGGACTTCCAAGCACTACAGTCATCAACCAGTCAACGACACAGCTGGGTCAATGACACAAAACAGTCCTGCCCCACCACTTTTGCTCGCATCTCTTAGAAATTTGATATCTAGGTGAGGGAATACTATATCAACATGAGTGTGGTTTTTTTGAAACAATGAAGTCCCTTCAAGTCCTTGAAAATTCTCTTTATCAGTTTTGATCGAGCCTGAACAATTTCATTACCCTGCTCTGGCAACAACCTTTGTAAGACTTATTTTAACAACTATCCAATAAAAAATGCTTAAGGAATGTCAATCAAAATTTATCTAGGATTGTAGGGGCTTGTAGGGACTGTCAGCAAGCAAAAGGTGTGAAACGACATTGAGATGGGTTGCCAAATGTGACAGCATTTGTGACACATCCGAATCAGGTCTACTGGTCAAATGAAAAACTCTCCTCAGTCTCACCTCAGCTGGCAGCCAAAAATGGGTGGACGACCTCTGTTCAAGACTCGAGAACTCAATATGTATTGACATCAATCCCTCAAGGAGAATATCTCTCAGATGTAAGTCAAACCAAATTTTGATGCTGTATCCCAATCAAGTAACTTGTGACTGTGTCATTGAGTCATGTTGGGGCTGTTTCAACCAAAAACCATAGTTCTCAATAACTAGGCAAGATAAAACATTTTAAAGCCCTAGATTGTGTAGTGTAAATAGTCCATCAGATTTTCCACAATTCAGTTTTTGAGAAGCCATTGTGTGAGGGATGTTATTCAGCCAATACAAATGTTTGTGTCATTGAACGGTTGATGACTGTAAGTATCCGCCTGTAAGCAGACTGACCAATCTACCTATAATCCATCTACAGTTTCTCCAGCCTCCATAACCCAAATATTTCCTCAATGTCAATGTTATAAGTAGTACTTAACACTCCAACACATGTCCATTGCATGTTGATGTAAATTTCCTGACATCGACATGCTTAGTATTCTAGCAATGGCACTAGGAATGTTTTAAGTTACATTTTTAAGCCCTCATTGAGGCCATCTTTTAGTATAAGTTTTAATTTTATACAATACGGCATCGTGAAAGGGGCCTCGAAAGCATGCGAAAATCACCCACTTCCGAGTCGCTTCAAGTTGATGGGGTCCACGGATGGAATTTCTTCTAACAGAAACCATAATCATATCACAATTCGTCATCATATTTGAATATTTGTGGTCAATAATGTATACAGAATTGCCAATTATAGGGTATCATTTGTAACGTAAAGGGTATAGCGGCATGCGGTAACTGCACCATGGAATGAATAGTTCGTCAAACCCATTATAAGATAGCTTATTGACAAAAGCAAGCCAATGACCGCCTCAAGGGCCATTTCTAATGATCCAATTTCATAACAAAACGAGCTGCCTGAACTTCATTCAGCGCCAACTTGGCCCTATGTCAGATTCTATGGTAAGATTGAACACACAGTAGCGTATTCGTTGAATATGCCCACTCACCAGTATTCCGACGAGGATCACAACCGTGTACAATGCCAGACTCAACAATGGTCTTCGTAGTGCACTGGAGCTGGCAAAAGGCGTGCTGATATTGGCGTTGAATGCCTGATCACACTCAATTACTGGCGCGGCGACCATAACATTTCCGGTTGGCTGATTGGAAAATATTGGGGAAACATCACTTTCGAAGAGGACGTAAATCCTACAATCAGAAAGTCGAAAAAAAAAAGCTCACGCTGGACCGACTTTCATGTCCCCGTTTGTAACATTGTATTCAACGGTTGCAATGAAGGCCCCCTGATGAGCGAGTTTGAAAGTCAGCGGCAAGTCTTGAGCTTACTACATCAGCAAAACCTGGGTGAGCTAGGCAGCACGTGGCAGGGCTGTGCAGCGCCATAGCACCATAGAAAGGGGTATCACCTTTACAGTCACCTGCACGTTCTATGCAGCCCTACATAGAAACACACAGCCACTACATAGCACTCCCTAGAATCACAGAGCAGATCTGCAGCTCTCCATAGAAACACAGAGCCACTACATAGTGCTCCCTAGAATTACGGAGCAGATCTGCAGCCCTCAGTAGCAACCCCTGGGGTCTGCAGATTGCTAGAGAGGGGGGATATGTTCTACTCATTTTAATACCATATTGCATGGTTTTTACCCAAAAGTGGTGTTACGAAAAAATAAGTTTATTATCTACACTACTGCATTATACAACCCTAGTACTGCATATCCTAATACTCTACATTATATAGGGAATGTCATAGGCTACCCTGGGGTTTTCCAGAGTAACCTGTGCCCGTACCTGTCAAAACCTGTACCCGTGTCCATGGGTGCAGGTTTTTGTGGGTACGGGTAGAGGGTTTACAAAAGTGCACAGGTACCCCAACCTGCACGGCATTAAGGGAAGGGAGGGAGGACACCATTCATTGAGATGCCAAGGGCCGTTCATTGAGACACCAAGGGAGGGTGGAGGCTGTTCGTTGAGGGAGGGGGGAAACCATTCATCGAAGGAAAGAGGCCGTTGATCGAGGGAGGAGGTTGTTCGTCATCGTTCATTGAGGGAGGAGGCCATTCGTCAAGACACCGTCCATCAAGAGAGGGAGGCCGCCATCTGTCAAGGGAGGGAGGACGCTGTTTGTCAAGGGAGGGAGAATGCTGTTCCTCCAGGGTGGGAGGAGAACACAGTTTGTTGAGGGAGAGGGGATGCCATTCATCAGGGGAGGGAGGACACCGTTCATCAAGGGAGGGAGGACACTGTCGTCAAGGGAGGGAGGAAACTGTTTGTCAAGGGAGGGAGGACACCGTTTGTTGAGGGAGGACACTGTTTGTTGAGGGAGGACACCATTTGTTGAGGGAGGACACCAGTCATCAAGGGAGGACACCGTTTGTCGAGGGAGGACACCGTTCATCGAGGGAGGACACCGTTTGTCGAGGGAGGGGACCGTTCGTTGAGGGAGGTAGGACAACGTTCATTGAGGGATGGAGGACATCGTTGTCAAGGAAGGGAGGGCACCATTCATCGAGGGAATTAGGACGGGTTGTAGGTGGTGGTAGCGACATTAGTGTGCTTATGAGGGTGGAAGGAAAGGAAGCATAGGCTTGGAAAGTTGCAAGTTTCGAAATATGAACAGGTCACATGTTGGTTTAGGGTGGGCTTGTTAGACTTGGAAACATTTGAGTTGAGTGCAGCACGTGACTTCCCGCAACCGTACCGACTTCCATACTTACAGTTTCTATCGTAGCTCGTGTCATTGCAGTCTCTTCACCTTTAACCGTAAAGTCTGCTTTTGTCTATATACTAGGGCTTATCACAGGTAACCCCCGGGTATTCCCAGTGTTACCCATACCCATACCCACAAAAACCCACACCCGCACCGAAGGGTACGGGTTTTGACGGGTACGGGTATGGGTTTTGAGAAATTCGGGGGTGCACAAACTCGTGCAGGGGTGTGGCCCCAATAGTCACCTAGAAACCTTGCAAGGGCAGTGCGCGTGTCAATTGACATGGCCGTGCAGCCTTGCAAGGTTAGAGGCAGAAGGGGGGAGGAAGTGAGGAGGGGGCAGGGCGGGAGGAAGGAAGGAGGGGAGTGAGGAAAGGGGAAGGAATTGAGGAAGGGGGAAGGAGAGTGAGGAAGGGGGGAGGGAATAAGGGAGGGAGGAAGGGAGGGAGGGAGGAAGAGAGTGGGGGGGGAGGAACGCTGGGCAGGACTTACTGTATCTGAGCTAAAACAACAGCGATGGTCTGCGTCATATGGATGCCACATCGCTGGCAACTCCTTCACGTGGTGATGGGCACTCGTCACCGCTTCTCAATGGTGCTGATGAGCGCTCACAGACGATTGTAGATGGCGGGTGGGCGCTCGTGGTTGCTGGGCCGCCGTATCCATTCGTGGATGGTGGTGGGGACTCGACCTGCAGCCATAGGGTGTTTGGCGTCTGTGGGTGCTGGCGGGCATTCGTTGCCATGGGCTGAAGGTGTTGGTGTGGTGGTAGGCGCTGGCGTGGCCTCGTTGTCGTCGCTCATTGTGATTGTCGTCGTTTGTCTTTGTCATGATTGGTATCCGTTCGTCGATGGTGGTGGAGACTCGACCTGCAGCCAAGGGGCGCGTAGGATTCGTTTTATGAGCGGTCGTGCTGGCGGGGAGGTCGTGGGTTGTCCTCAGCTCTGGGCATTGCGTCATGGTTATCGTTGTCGGCGTCGTTGGGTGTGGTGTGACGTGGCGTTGCCACATTGTCGTTGTTGGTGTCGTGGTCGCGTCAGTGTTGTGGTGGGAGTCGCATGGTGGTGTTCATTAATCAAACAACGACGATGACGGACGTCATCGTTCGTTGTTTGGTTACCACGTCGCCGAAAGCGGCGATGCGGAACCTGGTTCTGCTGTTAATAAGAAACAGAGGCGGATGGGTGGTGGGCACTCACGTAGGATGACGGTTGGTGTCGGATGGCGTTGGTGGTGTCCAAGAACTTTTAGAATACAAAAGTACAAAGGTTAGTCTAGGTATTTTAGAACCCCAAGCACGAAGAAGCACTTACACCTTTTATTTAGGCTCCTCTAGGACCTTCTGAACCCCTTCCAAGCCGCAATGCGTCGACGCGATGCATCGACTTCCGGGTTCCGATGTCCGCCAATGCCCCCAGTATGTCTGCATCGTTCCCATCTGCGGCTGGGGAGGATCCGGCGGTGAGGGCCACTCAATGCCGCCTCATCGTCACGTCGATCTAGTGGGTGCTGGTGACGTGGCATTGTGGTATTGTTCGTGGCAATGGGCCATGCCAGGTGCTTGTAGGAGGTCGGCGAGGGTGGTCGTCATTGTTGACAGTGGGTGGGCGTCGTGGATGGTGGTTGAGAACAGGTTTGTGGGTTGTTGGTCACACCCAAATGAGGCATCGGCAAACGCCGACGAACGCTGATGCCTGATCTGGGCGACATGTGGGCGTGCGGGTATACTTACCTACGGGTATCAGGGCTGGATAGAAAGCGGAGGCCCCTCTATAGCACCCTAAAGTAACTGCACAAGTCTCTGTAGTGCTGTATAGCATGAGCTTACACCCACACAGCGCTGTGGCGCTCTAGAGCATCTAGCCAAGCTTGGCGTGTAACTATGGGAAACTATGATGTCAGCAGAAACACTGTACCTGTCTACGTGTGAAAATCAGGTTTTGCTGATGTACTCTGAAACCTACGAACCTGACGGCCTGGCGGCACATGAATGGTTATGCCCTGTGAAGATGTCCGACTCTTCGTGCTGGACCAGCTGTCAGGTGAACTCACAGACAGCGGCCCGAACTGGATACCGACGTTCAGACCTGTGCTCCATGTGTCGGATATCGAGAATGACTCTCTTATCTCGCTGTCGATGGGGTAGGTGCCATTGAAGCAGTTAGATACTGGAGTGCCAATGATGAAATCGTAAGTCCGGAGGCCAATTTTGTTCTAGTTGATGGTTAGACATGCGTCAATGAGAACAAGCGCGAGTAATGAAGATCACCTGTGCGGAGAAGGAACACAGTTGCGAACCTAGAGGGGCACAGTTCCACAAAAGGGAAACATCATTTCTGCTCGCGGTGGGTTTTGGAGGTGCTGTGTCTGTGCTCACAGTGGGTTCGGGGGGCGCCTCATTTGTGCTCGTCGGATTTTTAGGTGCTGGATTTGTACTCGTTTGAGGTGCCTTCGGCGGTTCCGCGCTTGTTTTCGGAGGAGTGGGTTTCGGTGGTGGTGCATTTGTGCTTGGAGGTGCAGGTTTCCGAGTTGATGTGGCTGCATTTGTGCTCTGAGGCGCAGGTTTCGGTGGTGCCGCGTTTGTGCTCGTCGGGGGTGCGGGTTTTGTTGGTGCAGCATTTGTGCTTGTGCGACTTGTTGGATTTGTGGGTTTTGTTGGTGGAGCATTTGTGCCCAAAGTGGGTTTCGGTGGTGCTGCAGTGACTACGACCACGACGGTAGTAACGTAGGCAGGTCGTGCAAGTGCCCCATTAATTATAATAAATATAAGGGTTAGGGCCCACATATGACAGTGACCCTAGCCCTTACCAAATGGACCAACCGAACTTGACAATGCTTCATACCATATGGGGCCAGCGGACTCGGCCGACATCTCAACAAATCATCCATAGTGATGGCTGGGCCGAACAGGTGGGCGCCTGCCAATAATGGGCGCTCCTATTGAAAATAACCCACACTTTGCACCAATGCCATTATTATTTTGCGCTCTACAGGCGAAATTATTTTGAGCTCTGCAAGGGGCGCAATTATTTGCACTCTATGGGGGTGCAATTATTTGTGCTCTAGAGGTGCAATTATTTCAAGCTCCACAAGAGGCGCAATTCTTTTGTGCTCCATGGGGGCACAATTATTCTGAGCGCTACAGGGGGCGCAATTATCTCGAGCTCCAAGCTCCATGAGGGGCGAAATTATTTGCATTCCATGGGGGGGACAATTATTTTGAGCTCCATAAGGGATGCAATTCTTTTGCACTCCACAGGGGGTGCAATTATTTTGTGCTCCACAGGGCGCACAATTCTTTCAAGTACTACTGTATGTACCTTGTGCTGTTGATAGGGTCACAAATAGTCTGTATCCAGCATTGTTTCAATGTCAGAGTGTGCTGTGCCCAATGTGAATGTGCACCAAAGGTCAGAGTGCGCCCATCAAAGTGCGCCCAATGTGAATGGGCACCAAATGTCAGTGCGCCCAATGTAAATGTGAACCAAATGCCAGAGTGTGCCCATCAGAGTGCACCCAATGTGAATGTGCACGAAATATCAGTGCGCCCAATGTGAATGTATGAAATGTTGGAATGTGAATGGGCACAAAATGTCAGTGATTATTTTTCTGCACGAAATGTCAGTGTGCCCAATGTGAATGCATGAAAAGTGCACCCAATGTAAATGTGAACCAACTGTCAGAGTACGCCCATCAGAGTGCACCCAACATGAATGTGCCTGAAATATCAGAGTGCACCCAATGTGAATGCATGAAATGTTGGAATGTGAATGGGCACCAAATGTCAGAGTGCGCCCATCAGAGTGTACCCAATGTGAATGCATGAAAAGTGCGCCCAATGTGAATGGGCACCAATTGTCAGAGTGTGCCCAATGTGAATGGGCACCAGATGTCAGAGTGCGCTCAATGTGAATGCACACAAAATGTCAGTGCACCCAATGTGAATGTTCACCAAATGTGAGTGGGTGCCAAATCACTTGTACCTGCACTAAGTATGCATCTGTGTCTGTTATTCTCCAGTTGTATTTCCACCCATTATCTTTTTGCATGAAATGTCAAGTGTGCCCAATGTGAATGTGTATGTGAATGGGCGCCAAGTCACTATGTTCCTATGGCATTTATTTTGCACAAAAAATATGTGCCCCCCCAATTGTAGTCAATGCCTGGCCCACTTTGGCAGGGATTTATGGCACTGATGCACTACACCCATTGGTCTCATTGGTGAGTCCTAACCTGTGCAATTATTTTGCGCTCTACAGGCACAATTATTTTGAGCTCCACAAGGGGCACAATTATTTGCACTCTATGGGGGGTGCAATTATTTTGTGCTGTAGAGGCGCAAATATTTCAAGCTCCACAACGGGCGCAATTCTTTTGTGCTCCAGGGAAGCACAATTATTTCGAGCTCTACAGAGGGCACGAGGCGCAATTCTTTTGCGCTCCAGGGCGCAATTACTTGTGCTCTATGGGGGAGCAATTATTTTGCACTTTATGTGGTGCAATTATTTTGTGCTCTAGCAATTCTTTTGTGCTCCAGGGAAGCACAATTATTTTGAGCTCTACAGAGGGCACGAGGCACAATTCTTTTGCGCTCCAGGGCGCAATTACTTGTGCTCTATGGGGGAGCAATTATTTTGCACTCTATGGGGTGCAATTATTTTGTGCTCTAGCAATTATTTTGTGCTCCAGGGAAGCACAATTATTTTGAGCTCTACAGAGGGCACAAGGCGCAATTCTTTTGCGCTCCAGGGCGTAATTACTTGTGCTCTATGGGGGAGCAATTATTTTGCACTCTATGGGGCGCAATTATTTTCTGCTCTAGAGGTGCAATTATTTCAAGCTCCATGAGAGGCGCAATTCTTTTGCGCTGCATGGGGGCGCAATTATTCTGAGCTCTACAGGGGGTGCAATTATCTCGAGCTCCACGAGGGGCGAAATTATTTGCATTCCGTGGGGGGTGCAATTATTTCGAGCTCCATGAGGGATGTACGCTCCACAGGGGGCACAATTCTTTCAAGTGCCACTGTATGTACCTTGTGCTGTTGACAGGGTCACAAATAGCCTGTGTACAGCATTGTGTAGTGAATACAAATGTGAGTGGGCACCAAGACACTGCCAGTGTCAGATTGTCATGCCCATTGGTGCTTCAGGTGGGCACCATAACTGTCAATACCGAGTGTGTATCTGCGCCCATTATTTTCCAATGTGTATCTGTGCCCATTATTTTGTGCACCAATTTTGCCATGTGGATTTCCACCAAACATGAGTGGGCGCCAAGTGTGTATTTGCGCCTATTATTTTTCTTCATGAAATGTCAGAGTGCGCCCAATGTGAATACACATGAAATATCGGAGTGTGCCCAATGTGAATGCACACGAAATGTCAGAGTGTGCCCAATGTGAATGTGCACCAAATGAAATATGAGCCCAATGTGAAGGTGTGCCAAATGTGAGTGGGTGCCAAGTTAGTATATACCTGCAACAAGTGTGCATCTGCACTTGTTGTTTTTCAGTATGTATTTGGAGAGCGCCCAATGGGAATGTGCACCAAATGTCAGAGTGCGCCCATCAGAGTGCGCTCAATGTGTTCTATTCTGACTTTCTAAGGTGTCCAGACATGGGTAGGTGATGATACCTCTCATGCTCTCTCCTATTTCGCATTTTTCTCTGCCATCCCATTCTCCTCCCATTTCCAAAACATTTTATGGTCCTATCCTGACTTTCTAAGGTGTCCAGACATGGGTAGGTGATGATACTCCCCATGCTCTCTCATATTTCGCATTTTTTACTGCCTTCCCATTCTCCCCCACCCTCCAGGTCACTCCCAAATCACATTGGTGCCTCCCAAATGCCCCATATTTCACTCTCTTGGATGGTACAGGATATAGGCTGGGCTCTGGGCTCCAGAAGTACACTTCCTGGTTTAATCTACAGGAATTGAAGATGGAATTCCTGGAATGGTGGATGGATTTCATGAATTTTCGGGATGGATTCCATAGATTTGCAAGATGGCTCTCAGCCAGTAACCTACAGCTACTTTTATCCAATATA